AAATTGATATTATAAAACTAAAATTTGTTACATTATATTAATGGGACTCAATCTGGGCCGAGTTTGAAATTGAGATGGATATCATGGGCCCATGAAAGGCCCATCAAGACGCTTAAAAGCTAAAGCTGTTGTAGCAAAGGACGCTGCTCCTGAAAAAAGGTTGTACCGAAGGAAAAGAGAAAGGTACAACTAAGTAAAGCTTTGAAAGGTCAAAAAGGGATCCACAGTGGACTTTGACCGTTACCTTTACCGGAAAGGTGCCGGTTGGAAACGTCGTCGTTAGCACCTCACGCATACGCCTAACGGCTTTTATCTTGTTAGCCAAAATATCGAGTAACGGTAGGAGCTCCTCCGTTTTCAACGGAAACTGTTCCGTTAGCCAAACAGTCGGCCTCAGATTTTTCGCGTGCTCCTTCTCCTTGGTCTGCGGCGGCGCCACCAGTCTGTCCGCCCTGCACGGCGGCGCTCTCCTTCTGGAGCCGCCGGCGGGGAATATGTCCACGCTCTTCCGGGAAACCGTGACGAATTCCGTCTCCTCCCTGACGAAGCTGCTGTGCCGCCGCTGCTGGTCGCCACTGGAGACGCTGAATCGAGGATTCTCGGCGACGATGAAACCGTCTTCGGATTCCTCGTCGATCTCCAGCGGAAGGATGCAGTTCTGGGAGTATGGATCGTCCCTGTTCTCGGGGACGGCGACCTTGCGCGAGCGGAAGGTGAAGAGGACGTTGTGAATTTCGTAAACCCTAGCTTTCCAATCACCGACGCTCTCCGTCTTCTCCTGCCGCCGCCAGTTGGTGCGAGGGACCAATTCGGCCCGCGTGACGTCGATTCCCGGTCGGTAGACGGCGGTCTGGTTGCAGAAATTGGCGACGTCGGCGTCGGGGAGGGGGATCCCGGCGTTCTCGAATGCGTCAAGGATCTCGCGCTTGTCGTGGTTGAGGATGAGGAGCGCGCCGTCGGGGCCGCCGCCGTCTTCTGCGGCGCCGTTGAGGAAGAGGAAGCTCTGGTTGGCGCGCTGGATCTTCAGGCCGTCGTAGCCGGAGAGGGTGGTGTCGGCGCGGAGGCAGCCGCCGCGCTTCCAGATCCGGTAGGTGTCGGAGGGGGCGATCCGGCCGACGAACGGCACGATCGAGCTCTCGAAGTGGAAGGAGATCTCCATGTAGAAATCGCGCATGCGGCGGAGGGCGGAGACGAGGCGGGGGAGGCGACGGCGCCACTTGGACCACGCGGCCAGGTGGTGGTGCCGGACGAGCACAGAGATAACCGACGGGCGGCGGCGGAGGAGCGCCTCCTGGAGGGGATTCCACCCGGCGGCGTTCTGGAGGGAGATGTCGGCGCCGGCGGAGGCGAGCAGGCGGGCCGCGGCGGCGTCGTCGAGGCGGACGGCGAGGTGGAGCGGGGTCTCCCGGAGGCGATTGTCGCGACGGTCGATCGCGGCGGAAATCTGCTCCACCACTTGCTCTTGGGCAACGGAGTCGGATTCGGTTCGGATTTTTTCCGGGTCGGGCAGTTTGGGGAGGGAGGAGATCAGTTTGGTGAGCGACGAGTGGTCGCCGGTTGCCACAGTGTAGTGGAAGGGACTGTTGGCGTAATCCTGCGGCCGTATGACGGTGGCGGCAGCCGCCGTGGCCGACGACTTCGACATTGTTTGTGATGATGAATTTGTTATCTGAAACTGAAAATGGAGGTTACAGATATGGAGGAATATAACAAATTTTTTTTTTTCTCTTTTTCAAAAGGCTGTTAATAAAAAGTAAAAACAATATTTAGTCAGTTTTATTATGTACTCTACCTGACCCGGCGCGACTTTTGGTAAATCACCTTAGGGGATGGTCGCTATACGACGTCGTTCGGCAGTTTAGTTTAGTCCTGTTAATTGTTCACGTTTAGCTCTATCATCTATTAATAATATCGCAATAATTAAATAATCAAAAAGTGATAACGAAATGTGCGGAGAATACCTCGCGTGAAGAAAAATAAATACGGTGTTGAGAACTAAAATGATATAATTGGGATTTTGGAGAGTGATTAGTTGAGATTTTAAAACTATTTCAAATTTAAAACAAAATTCATCTATTTTTTTAGGCATTATTTTTTTATTAGCACTCATATAATACAGTGTTATACAATATTACTATATTGATATTATTATTTGTAATGGGGACAACTATCTTTAAAGTGTAAGAGTTGGTTGTGGATTTTTGGACAGCAGGGCCTACTAATACTGTTCCTAATACAGCCTCCCTCAATAAATATAATAAAAATATATAAATTGACTCTTTTTTTCTTTATGGTATGTGTGAAATAAAGAAGCATATTAGAATATCACACCAAATAAATAAGAAAGTAAATTAAAACTTGACTAAATTTGACGAGTTGATTGTCTTGTGTTTGATAATGATATCCAAATAGATTTACAGATTATAAAAAATGGGGAAAAAATATTTGGATTTTGAATCTCTCACTTAGATTGAATGACTCTGCACATAAAGGCGCCGGATTTAATTGCACTAAGAATTTATTTGCTTGACCATAATACATTTGAAATTTCAAGATTTTGAAATTTGATAGTATTTCATTATTGACAATTTGAAAATTAAAAATTCATTAACATTCACTTGATTTGCATGTAGGGATTTGAAAATCGGTTGTATAGTTTTTCAATGATCGTGTCAAGCTCCAAAATTACAATTTACCTATCTTCCTATTGAATATTGTATTTCACATTTAAAAGAATAAAATTACATTAACATATATACCAGTACTAATTCCCCTACTCATCGAGCCTAACTGAAAGATGGCGAGACACGACTTATAATTAATGATATTTGATTAGTTCGAGTTTAACTCGTTAACTTTAAGGAGTCGAGTTGATCACACGAATTTTTCAATTCAAATAAATTAATAGATTTTTTTTTTTATTTATCCAAACAAATAATTAAAAACATTGGTCATGTTTGGATGTTGGTGAATTCGTGCGAAATTACGAGATTGAACTTTGTTTAGAGATTTGACCTGCCAAATCTCCTAATTAACTTAATTGATAAATAAATTATTTGATTCCTGTTTTCGGTCTAAAATGCAAATTTTGAAAAAAAAAAATGCAACGTAGGAGTACTTTGAGAAGAGATGATTCGTAAAATAACATGTCAACATAATATTTATAAAAATAGTCATAAAATTCGTCATTTGTCAAATAATTAATTACATAACTAATATAATCCGATACTCACATCACCTAGCAATGTCATATAATATTTTTAGGGAATTCAGAAAATCAGAAAATGATAAAAAAGTGAAAAAGTGGATTTTTGGTTTGCGCACTTCAATCATAATTCAATAATCATT